CCCCAAAACCCCAAAACCCCAAAACCCCATGAGTTTGTGTTTTATATTTTGTATTGATATAATCAAATTATGATAAATATTATTCATTAAATTTTAGAGAAATATGATAAATATTTCGAACTAAAGTTGTTAAATCACTGTTTAGATTTAAATTTAAACTTACTTAGTATTGCCAAACTGATAATTCCATATACTAGGGAACAGGTCAATAATATTAGATAATGAAAATTAGAGCTCATCTGTGCTTCTAATATTAGCACAATAAAAAAGGACGTTGACCAAACAGCAGTGGACACACTATAAGGAGTATTATTTGACTCAAATTCAAATCCTAACATGCAGTTCATTAAGTTATTTATAAAGCTATCAAATACACCCCAGAAAAATGTCATGAAATATGCTAAAATTGTGAACTAGTTAATAGCACAGTGACAGATGACAAGAGTGCAAGCCACCACTAAAGAAATAAGGCAGGGAATAATAGTAGCTTTATGTCCATATTTATCAATGTAGTTTCCTATAATGATGCTTCCGATGAGTTCACCTACACCTAATGGGATCATTGCATAAAATGACATTGAAAGTTGCTTATTTGAATCCCATCCTTTATCTACCATGGAATTTGTCAAAATAATCATAAATGCACCAATATATAAAGATTAACTTATGCCTACTAATAATTGAAAAGGTATCATGAAAATCATGCATTTAGATTTAAGCAACCTAAATGTATCAATAATATCCTTTTTGAATTGAGATTGGGATTTTTTATTCTATATTTCATAGGAATAAGTTAAATCTTTGTTTTAATCGAACTCACTGGTAAAAATTGATGAAGATTTATTATTTTTGTCAACAACTTTTCTCTTGGAAATTTGCTAAGGTGATTCAAGCATTGATTATGAATCATTGTTTGATTCAGAGCCATTTTAAATAATATCTGATTTTCGCTTAGTTGGATTCTTCAAAAGGAGAAATAAGAGACATCCAACGAGCATAACAATTGACATTACAATGTGTAATGTCAACATTTCAGAATTTTAGAGCACAACTGCAGCAATTATGCTTCCTACAATTTAAGATGACATGTACATAAAGAAAAAAAAGCTAAAGAAGAAACCTCTATTTTCATCTGAAGCACATTTTGAAATATACTCACCCGAAGCTGTCCAATTGAGAGCACTACCAACACCATTTACTGCTGCAGATAGAAGTACCATCATGTATATGAAGTTTTTTTGATAATAAAAATATTTGTCTCTGTTCTCAGGAAACTCGCTATACATAGATGGAAGTATGTATCCAACTTAATTAATTATGTAACATAGTGAGCCTAAAAACAATGATGTTCTATTTCCAAATTTCTTTACAAATGCAGTACCTGCAAAACTAGTTAGAGCGAAAACAAAATAGAGAACAGCATTTTAGTAAAATCCCAAACTGTGGAATCCACTATCTTGGAAAGATTTTGGTGCTAAACTACTTGAGACCCCAAAGCCAGTAAATAAGAAAAAGAATCCAAAAGATATTATAGCAAGCTTTTCTATATTCAAATAATAATAATTTGATTTCGCCATTGTGTATATAAACTGATTATTTAGTTGACTTTTTTAATTTAAATTATTTCTTTATTATGATAATAGATATATCTAATGACTTGGGGTTTTGGGGTTTTGGGGTTTTGGGG